CGGGGAGCAAGGCTCTGACTGTGGTTTGTGCTTATGCACCAAACAGCAGTTTGGAGTATCCGGCCTTCTTGGAGTCGGTGGGAGGGGTCCTGGAAAGGGCGCCGCCTACCGACTCCATAGTTCTCCTGGGGGAATTCAACGCTCACGTGGGCGATGACGGAGAAACCTGGCGGGGGGGTGATTGGGAGGAACGGCTTGCCCGATCTGAACCCGAATGGTGTTTCGTTATTGGACTTCTGTGCTTGCCACGGTTTGGCCATAACGAACACTATGTTCGAACATAAGGTGGCTCATAAGTGTACCTGGTACCAGAACACCTTAGGCCGGAGATCAATGATCGACTTTGTAATCGTATCATTTGATCTGCGGCCGTATGTCTTGGACACTCGGGTGAAGAGAGGAGCAGAGCTGTCAACTGATCACCACCTGGTGGTGAGTTGGATCAGATGACAGGAGAACCGGTTGGAAAGACCCGGCAAACCCAAACGTGTAGTGAGGGTGAACTGGGAACGTCTGGCGGAGGACCCTGTCCGGGAGGTCTTTAACTCCCACCTCCGGAAGAACTTCTCACACATCCCGAGGGAGGTTGGGGACACGGAATCCGAGTGGACCATGTTCAAAGCCTCTATCGTGGACGCGGCCGCTAGGAGCTGTGGCCGGAAGGTCATCGGTGCCTGTTGTGGCGGCAACCCGAGAACCCGGTGGTGGACACCGGAGGTGAGGGAAGCCGTCAAGCTGAAGAAGGAGACCTTCAAGGCCTGAAGCAGCTGACAGGTACCGGCAGGCCAGAAGGGCTGCAGCTGCGGTGGTCGCGAATGCTAAAACTCAGGCATGGGAGGAGTTCGGGGAGGTCATGGAGAAGGACTTTTGGTTGGCCTCAAGGAGGTTCTGGCAAACCATCCGACGGCTCAGGAAGGGAAAGCAGGGCTTACCCCAGGCTGTTCTCAGCAGGGGGGGGGGAACTGCTAACCCGGACGGAGGACATTGTCGGGCGGTGGAAAGAGCACTTTGAGGAACTCCTAAACCCGACCAACATGTCCTCTGCAGAGGAGGCAGCGCCTGAGGACCTAGGGGGAGGCTCACCCATATCCCTGGCAGAGGTCGCTGAGGTAGTCAAAAAGCTCCTTGGTGGCAAGGCGCCGGGGGTGGATGAGATCCGCCCTGAGATGCTGAAGGCGCTGGACATAGTTGGGCTGTCCTGGCTGACACGCCTCTTCAATGTCGCATGGGGGTCGGGATCAGTGCCCATGGAATGGCAGACCGGGGTGGTGGTTCACATCTTCAAAAAGGGGGACCGGAGAGTGTGCTCGAATTACCGGGGTATCACACTACTCAGCCTCCCGGGGAAGGCTTATGCCAGGGTGCTGGAAAGGAGGCTCCGACCGCTTGTCGAACCTCAGATTCAAGAGGAGCAGTGCGGATTCCGTCCCGGCCGTGGAACAGTGGACCAGCTCTTTACCCTCGCAAGACTACTGGAGGGGTTCTGGGAGTTTGCCCAACCAGTCTACATGTGCTTTGTGGACTTGGAGAAGGCTTTCGACCGGGTCCCTCGGGGGGTCTTGTGGGGGGTGCTGCGGGAGTATGGGGTGCCGGACCCGTTACAACGGGCGATCCGGTCTCTGTACAACTGCAGTAGGAGCTGTGTCCGCATTCTCGGCAATAAGTCAGACACGTTCCCGGTGTGTGTTGGCCTCCGCCAGGGCTGCCCTTTGTCACCGGTCCTGTTCGTGATTTTCATGGACAGGATATCTAGGCACAGCCTGGGGGCGGAGAACGTCAGTTTCGGGGGTCTCGGGATCGCCTCTCTGCTATTTGCAGATGATGTGGTCCTGTTAGCCTCCTCGGATCGTGACCTCCAGCATTCACTGGGGCGGTTTGCAGCCGAGTGTGAAGCGGCGGAGATGAGAGTTAGCACCTCCAAATCTGAGGCCATGGTTCTCTGCCGGAAAACGGTGGATTGCTCCCTCCAGGTGGGGACGGAGTGCCTACCTCAAGCGAAGGAGTTCAAGTATCTCGGGGTCTTGTTCACGAGTGAGGGTAAGATGGAGCGGGAGATCGACAGACGGATCGGTGCAGCTGCAGCAGTAAAGCAGGCACTGCACCGGACCGTCTTGGTGAAGAGGGAGCTGAGCCGGAAGGCAAAGCTCTCAATTTACCACTCGGTCTACGTTCCTACCCTCACCTATGTTCACGAACTCTGGGTCGTGACCGAAAGGACAAGGTCGCGGCTACAAGCGGCCGAAATGAGTTTCCTCCGTAGGGTGGCCGGGCTCAGCCTTAGAGATAGGGTAAGGAGCTCGGTCATCAGGAGGGAGCTTGGAGTAGAGCCGCTACTCCTTCGCGTCGAAAGGAGTCAGCTGAGGTGGTTCGGGCATCTAATTAGGATGCCTCCTGGACGCCTCCCACTGGAGGTTTTCCAGGCACGTCCAACTGGGAAGAGACCCCGGGGAAGACCCAGAACACGCTGGAGAGATTACATCTCCCAGCTGGCCTGGGAACGCCTCGGGATCCCCCAGAATGAGCTGGAACATGTTGCCGGTGAGAGGGAGGTCTGGGTCGGCCTGCTTGACCTGCTGCCACCGCGACCCGACCCCGGATAAGCGGTGGAAAATGGATGGATGGATGGATAAAGATATTAAGGGCTCAAATTCTCTACCTGGTTACACATTCTTCAAATGGTGGTATCTTTTTAGCTTATTGATTTGAACAATCTAGTTATTTTTACTGAAGAGCGGGTAGTTTATCTTCATGCACAGTTCTAATGATTCTTTCTGAAAGAAATACTCCACTAAAATCTTTCACAAAAGTAATAAATACTCCCAGTAGGCCTCAAAGGTGACTGCGCCCACTGATGTGGTCAGCTTGTATCAAAGTCTTTCAAAGTGGATTACAATGGTGAAAGTTTATGCAGGCAAAATGAATGAAAAGATCCATAGAAACTTCCCAAAACCCCTCACGGAATCTATCTCATTTCCTAACATAGATTTGGTTGGTTGGTTGAATACACTGCTTCTGTGCTGTGCCGTTTGCCTGCCTCAATGTTTAAAGATTCTGCCAAAAGGTGTTTTAAACCCAGTGGGTGGATGGATGAGTTTCTATGGACATTTTGATAAATTTTCCTCATTGTGAAAACTTTTCACCATTGTATTTATGAATTAAGGCCCCCCTAAGGATGGGGTATTATCTACTGATCGCTGAAAAAGGGGATAAAATGTTTGATTTTGATTCAAAGCAAGTAGAGGTTGACCTGTTTTCAGGCCTCTTGAAACACATTTCTCCGTGCCACCCTTGCAGATGGAGCAGTTCTTCAGTTTAAATCCAAACGCCGGTGCCGGGGAGATGCCTCGGCAGCAGGCGCTGGAGACGGTGAGGAACAACATCGAATGGATCCGGAGGAATGACAACGAGATCAGAGGCTGGCTGGAGAACAATATCGCCTGAAGCGGCACCAGCGTGTGAAACACTGCAGGAATACCGTACCTGTACAAGACCAGAGCATCCACAGTCCCCTGTAGATACGTAAGGCCTTTTCCTATTCAGCGCATTCAGGATGAGGCTCGGTCGAGTTTGTGGTCTTTTTGAAGGGCTAACGCAGGTGGCTGCTGATCTGAATCGACATTGCAGATGATCAAATAATCACATTCTTACTTGTAATCAAAATTCACATGTCACCTGATCTACTAAATGTAAGTCCCATTTTGCAGATTGCTGTAGTCCTCAAAAGTCTGCAGTCCAGTGTCGGCTCATTTAGCAGAGTGTGATTCTGGGCTTTAAAGAGATCTTTTCTTAGGTATCCAAAACATCCACTCCACTGCCACGCACACAGTGAGTCATTCAGGCATTGAGTTATGAATGGGTAGAGTTCCTGTCTATCTACTGTAAACTGACTCTGATCATTTTCACTTTATTTCTGATCTGGTGCTCATCACATGGATATTTATGCAGCCGCCTTCTTCTTCTTCCTGTAAACATTTATTACAAATTCTTTAATGTATTTTTGTAAATTTAACTTGTTGCACAGTGAGTTTTCTATCGCCAGCACAGTGCAGCCATGATTATCAGACCCACCCTTATAATATGATGATGCATTCTGCCTCTGTGCTTGTTTGTATTTGTGAGCAATAATGGAAGTGTTCGATGGGTAACTTGCTGGAGGTGAAGAGTTGAATGAATAAATATTTACTGAAATTACTTTATGTGAACCATGACTTTTATTTCATGTTATTTTGACCCCAGCAGCAACAAAGCAGCAGTGTAAGTACTTCACTTCACCACTATAGTCAATATTTATATTGGAGATTAACATTTTGCATTCAAAACATGAACAGAAATTAAATGTAAATACTTCTTGATGTAGCATTGGGATACTGATGATACCCTACATCCCTCTACCCCTTCATCCCTACATCCCTTCATCGACTCCTACCCCTACCCTACATCCCTCTACCCCTACCCTACATCCCTCGACCCCTTCTGCTTCTTAAATCTAACAATCATTCCATTATGCAATAAACCTCTCGAAACTCATACTGTTATTGGCGTGGTCCTTGTTAGTGAACAGTATTTGATACAACACCGGTGTCCTTCAGCGTCACAGTTAATGAAATATTATTTTCTCAGTCTACTGTTAGCTAACTGCTTTATCTGCTCGGCACAAATAAGTGAATGAATTCATTCAAAATAGACTGGTTAAAAGCAACAATGCATTTGGTCTTTGCAAACAGAAATGATGTCCGTGCATATAGAGGAGGTGAGTGGGGTCCAAGCGGTCCCTGGAGACGCATTAATAATAATAATACCAGGTGTAAACAGGGCCTAAGAATACATGTAGTGACACAGAATCAAAATTAATTTCTACGTGTCCAATAAACTTTCTTGGGATTCTGATGTGAGCTACAATGTCGGTGTCACTAAATTAAATCCTATTGTATCTGATGAGAGAGGTCGCACCGCTGTATGGGCATAGATAGCACATGTGAAAACAAAAAGTAATGTCTTACTTTGGCCTTTTCCAAGCAAAGGGGATGCTTCTGTAGCAGTTGAAGAATGCAGTCCGCACACAGAAAGAGTTGCATTGTCAGTTTTACCACAACACACACAATGACTACAATGTCACGGCAAGTGGAATGTACACAGTAAACACCGCAGTGCATTAGATTATTATGGAAACACTGACACTGATCCATATTAATTCACCGTAGCAATCTTCTATAAATGGTTTTAATGCCAGGATACTTTAATACAATGGGATTTCACCTCACTGGGTCAAGGGTTGTTGGGAGGTTGTCATGGGAACCTGGGTATTGATGGTGATTCTTTGCCTGGTTTGACATCGAACCATACCTATGATGGCTCTTCTGAACCTGCAGGAAGAGATCATCCACTCATTATCAATTTAAAATACAGTACATCATTAAAACATTACTCAGTGATTACTGAACAGGAGTACTGCCCTTTTTATATGTCTGTGCCCAGGGACCCACAGTCTCATTATGGGCCCCATCACCCCCTCTCTATCCTCACAACTGCCTCTCACAAGCAACAAGTACATCTACACACACATGAACTATTATCAAAGCATAATGACGAGAAAGACACTCACTTTTTGTTGGCAATGACATAAATGCAGGGGTTGTAAAAGGTGGAGGACTTGGCAAAGAGTGGAGCGATGATAGCCATGGGGGCAGCGATGGTCTTTGGGTCACCAAAGGAGGCCCAGAGACACACCACGGAGTACGGAGACCAGGCCACCAGGAACATGACAATCATCACCATGGACATCTGCCGGCCACAAACGCAGCAACACAGCTTTCATATAATACAGGCAAAAATATTGTATATAGTATAAAGGAGAGAGTAAATTGAATGAAGCCACATTTTTGCTCACAGTCCAATAGCATAACTACATGTGTAACATGAAACAGAATAGAATTGTCCCTTTAAGAACTTTAAGACACCAAGTCATCCAAAATTGTTACACGTTCGAAAATAAATGCAACGTCATGTTGTGAAAATTCCATTTACACATCGTCCACAAAGTGTTCTCAATAAATTCGATTTTTCTGCGTTATTTCGCATGCGTCAGAGTTCTTTGACCGCTCAGAGCTGCCCTAAATGAAAACTTCAGTATTTAAAATGGCATCTGAGCTGATTCACTGGGTTCATTCGTCTCCCAGCACAAAGCACTTTACGACAAACAGAGTCACACAGATTTTAAAAAACAGATTGTAGAAGCTGATCACAGGACAGCTTGGAATCGGAGATGGTCACAAAACAAAGGATGTATGGTTAGATGGTAATCATTGTGCTCTAGGCAGCTAAACGATAGCTTCTTGCTAATGTCATTCATTCATAATTAACATAATGAATTAATTATTAATCAATTCAGTTTTGTCTTGTATTGCAAATAAAAAAAACAAATGGCATTCAAAAAAACACATCAGACTCAGTGCGCAAGTTTTCTGTTTGTGACGATTTTTATCGGATGGATTTAAAAAACGCATACAAAAAAACATTTTGGGCCATCGTTACGCTGATAAAGTGGCCCATAAAGACTATATTGATTCAAATTTAATACAGATGCATGTGAGACAGACAACCAAAACATGCCTCTGTAATGATGTTGGACAAGTTTGTTTAACCGCTAAAAAGATGGGCTACGACAAAGCTGTGTGCCATCATAAGTGGAACATAAGTGGAACACGAAGCAGAGTAGAGGAAAGAAGAGCGAGCTCGATGGCTCAGTGTGGTTCAGCTTTCACCTTGGTGACATCCATCTGATCTGACCAGTCGACGTTGATGATGTCCAGGCAGTTGCTGGCTTTGTATCTCCTCACAGTGGCCGACACGTTGTAGTAGCAGTAAAACATGGTGGAAACAGGCAACACAAAGTTCACAGCGATCACAGCCATAGTGTAAGAGATGAAGGAGCTGTGGAGGAAAAGTTAGTTAGTGTCTGCTCAAACATTGACATACTGGATTATGTTTCATCTTTGGTCTGGCTGACTTTTAAAAGTCAGAGTTTAAAATCTTAATCCTTTCCAATCAATTCAAAGTTGCCTTATAGCATAATTACAGTTGTAATAGTAATGGCATAACATAGTAGTAGCAGTATAATATTCTCTTCTGGCTTCACTCACTGGAGCCAAACTATTTAAAATGTTCTAAATATGGCCAGTGTATTTTGCTCCAGCACTATCGAGAATTACTGGAATATCTTACTGTAAACTGCATCAATATTTGTTCAATGCTTGTGAAAACATAAATTGGTCTGAATCTTTCCTGCTCATAATCACAGATATCCGTTTGTTCAGTTGAAACTGTTGTTTCTGTGAGTTTAGTTGTATCTCATGATGCTGCTGTGACTGCTCCATGACTGAAGGCCCCTAGTAATCAGATGAATTTATGAAGGGCTTAAGCTAAGACATTCTTTACATTTCAGCTGCGTAACCTGATGTACTGTAGTAAATGTAGATGAACAAAAGTATCATTTGTTTGCTATAGAGCTTCATTTCTGCAATAATCCAATATCCAATGGAAAACTCCCATTGGCTTTTTGTCAAAGAAACCGGGGCGATGTTTGCTTCTGGCCTTCAAAAATGCGTCATCCCTGGAGCACTCTATGATCCAGTGAGTGTCACATTGAAAATTATGTCATGGCAGTTTCATGCAGGAGCTGCTATGGCATTCAGCTAAAAGTCCCGCCTACAGAGAGGGTACTACCTGCAGTGCAGAACGAAATAGAGACATAATACCTGGTACCAAAAGTGAGGAGTCGAGCAGAGTTGTACCAGGCCGTGGAAGTGAGGCATTAGTGTGCTTTTGCATTGTTGTTGGGGTGTATCTTCTTCACAGATATATTTAGTATAGTTTTATGTTTTATGGTTGTTTTTTTACGGTTTTAATCTGTGGGTATTTATTTTCTGGGTTTTTGTAATCAGTGTTGGTTGAAAAGGATGCACTGTTTTTATGGATAAATAAGTTGAGACAATAGCTGTGACAACTCAAAATCATCACAGTAGCAGCAGTATTAGTAGTGGCAGCAGTATTTAATTGTCATTATAAGTGGGCAATTTTCTCAGTAGTTTTATAACAAAACAATATAGTTTCTGCCAGGTGTAAAGTATGCAGTAACACCTGCAGTCTGCTGATAACTCACGCGTCATTCTGTCTCCAGTTGATGGTGCATGTAGCTCCGGTGGGATCGGGGGCATAACCAGCCCAGCCCACCACGGGCATGGAGGACCAGAACACAGCATTCAGCCATGCTGCCAGGATAAGAAGGTTGTATGATCGCATCGTCATTTTCTGCCCTGGAGAGACAAATGATATGTCCATTCACAATGAAAGTTCAGGAGGGTCAGTGTGGAGATACTGGTTTGATTTGGTTTTGATTACAAGTGAAAAGGTTTATCCCATCAGAAACATGAAGGTGCTATGGTAATCCCCCGTTACAATTGACTTTGATGTGTACAAGTAAGATCTCCTTCTGTCTGGATGGCGGCTCAAAAAGAAAGGTCAGGGGTCACCAATAACCCTGGGGATCAGGAATTATTTGATGAGTCGCCAGTTTATAAGGTACACCAAGCTAAAAGTAATGTAATCCAAATGAAGGGTCTTGCTATAAATGCCAGTGAGGGTAAAGGCTAAACAAAGCATCACTCTAAATGATGCGTTACAGTTAAACTAATCTACATCCTCCGAAATGATCACACAGTTGGATCAACACCTCTCTAAAATTGTAACCTTCATCAAGGGAGAATACACTGCCAACTATATAAATAGGAAGTGAGGGGGATGTGTCCCCCCCATCCCCAGTTGAAATTCCACCCTTGCATGGCGAGCAGAAGTGCAGGAAATAGATACCTATGTCTGGTCTGCAGATGGTGAGGTATCGGTCGATGGCCACCACCGTCAGCAGGCCGATGCTGGCCATGCCGAAGAAGATGTTGAGAGCTGCATAGATCTGGTCGCAAAAACAGAAAGATTACAAATAACAGCTAGTTAATGATAATGTTAGTGTAATGGGCCTTGATGTTTCCTTGAGGTTTAATGATCAGAACTAGTTGCATATTTTTTCTTCTTTTAGGTTTCTAGGATTTCCGTAGCAGCCGGGGGCTGAAAGGTGGTACGCCAGGCCAACCTACCCAGCACGTTAACTAATCCTTAAGTTGAAGTAAAGTGTTTTCATCTTTCAATGCGTTCTAACTACCTTGAACAAAGCCATTGGTTTCAAAACTTTAACTAGGGCAGCAACCAATGATTATTTTTCATTACCGATTCATCTGGCGATTACCTCAGGTTAATCAAATACACGCTTGGTCAAAAAAATAGTTTGAATCGTGAAAATATTCAGAGAAGGTGCCCATCCAAATTTCCAAAAGTCAAAAACAGAAAGATATTGATGTTGATTCATGACAAAAAAAGCAGGATGTCCTCATATTTGAGATGAACTACAACAGCAAATGTTTAACAGACGATAAAATGAATTATGTAAATATTTGCCAATTTCTTTCTGTCAGCTCTCATTTTAAATGTGCCATAACAAATCAACTTGTACAGAATCTAAACTCATTCCAACGTTGCCGAGTAGAATCCATCAACTATTTTTTGGGAAAAGTTACAGTAATATTGCATACAAATCCAAATGGAATTGTTTAAAGAATTGCAATGAACCACACAATGCTATCAAACTGATACATATTGATATGTAACTAAGGCAACATTAAACGCAGATAAGTATGTTCACTGTGATGGATAAGTCAAACAAGTCTCAGGTTTCCCATCGTTGATTTTACAGCACAAATAAACTGCACCACTGGCTACCTGGAAGATAGATACACACCCAGCAAGCTACTGGTTTATTGTAGCAGTATTGATCAGCATATCTGATTTCCACTGGATGGATACAATTATTGTGTCGTCCATTGTGCTTTGACATTGATCAGTACTATCTGATCCACTGGAGGGCATTGTATTGACTGACTGAATAGATGTGAACATTTGGAAAATCAGTTGTAGTAAAGGTACACAGGCACTAGGATTCCCCCACTGCCCAGTTAAAACACTCTGCTTTCCCTGCTCTGCTTCTCACTGTAGAATAACATCTATGGCACAATATAGCTGTGCAATAACAAAGGCTGAGGGGAAACATAATCTGCCAAAATAATCCAAACACGTGGCCTTGTGCAGTGTAGCAGCTGATGAGAAGATGCCTCAGCCTGTAGATAAGTAGATTCTTATGGTAGGCTCAGAAAAAGTCACGTTAGTTAGTGTGACATTTTAAAGGTTGTAGAAAGCATGACGACATGGAGAACTACAAGACTGGTGACCCTTCTGACTGGGTCTCATGAATAATTCCCATATATTTACATACATTTTGAAAAAATATGTAGAAAATGCGACTACAAAAACTGCCCAGCAAGCATTTTTAACTGTTTTTTCACACTAGGAAAAGAAAAACAGAATTATCCCGTTATGATGTGAAAAGTTTCTTGTTATAACAAAATGTTTTCATGTTATTACAACATACAAACTTATCACGTTATATCAAGACACTTTCTTGTTTTAACAATTAACTAGTTATCATGTTAACGTTTAATATTTCACATAAAGTGATAATTTATTGTATAAAACGTTTAATGTTATAACACAATAACCTATTGTTATAACATGATAACCTATTGTTATAACATGATAACCTATTGTTATAACATGATAACCTATTGTTATAACATGATAACCTATTGTTATAACATGATAACCTATTGTTATAACATGATAACCTTCCACGTTATGTGATAAATTGTTGTAGTGTAAAACATTTCACGTTAGAACTTGATGTCTCAAGCACAAAGTGAAACCTACTCAAATTGTGTAAATGAGCCATATTTGTTATAACATTAAAACGTGAATCGTGAAACAGTGTAAGTGATCATGTTATAACATGAAAATATCTTAAATGTGAAAAACATCTTATTATAACCTTAAACTTCACATTATAATGTGATACTGATCTGTTTCTCCATTTCTGGCGTGTCAGCAATACGCTGCAGTAGAAATGAAACAAAACAAGAGTGTTTTTTTATGGAATAATTAAAAACTATTATCCCATTTTTAATACCGCTGAAGCAGTTCACGTAAGAGGAGTCGGTAGAACCTGTTCACACAGTTAACCAGTCTGCAAGGGTTACCTATAGGCATCATTCAGTGTAGACCAGCCATACAGTATGGGTCCTTGAAGAAGAAAAAAATTGGCAGAACATTCACCTCCCCTAATCTCAACATTAAATGTGGTTCCATTTACATTACTTTTTTTATTGTATATGTAGGTTGCTCTATAAGTAAAATATATATGTGAAGACACATTCCACCAACCTGACAACCAGCGTAGCCAAATTTCCAGCTGCCGTGGATGTCTGAGGCAGCTGACATGGGATAGCCGATACCAGCCACACCAATGTCAGTAAAAGCAAGATTGATTATAATAAAGTTGGTGGCAGTGCGCAGCTCCTTAAACTTCACAAACATGAGCAGCACAACAATGTTGCTTAATAAACTTATGACACCTGTGAAGAGAAAGAACAATGCAGGCAAAGTGTGAGGTAAAAGTCAAACTTGCAACACCTTTAATCCTGTATTTATTAAGTCACATTAACAGAGGAGTAAATAAAACACAAGCATTTTCCTCTGATGGCTCCAAGACTGTATTCAAGTCAATAACTCAATAATCTATTGATTTTCCATTGTTATGGTTATTCGTTAACATTTGTTGTAATAATTATATGATCTGCTACCAGTAGTTGACCACCTATGAAAACCGCCGGCTGCATTACATTACAATGATTTTTGGCGCCGAGCTATCATCAGTGTTACTAATTCCACCTGTGCTTTTCCCACTATGAGAAGTCAACCCAGTCACCAGAAAACATGTTGGCATTGTACTTTTTTTGCAAATCACAGAATACGTTGAATGTGGATGTTTGTGAATCAAAAATACGCTTTCACATATGTTTCATATTAGCCTTGTATCACGCTCGCAGAAACGCGTAATGACACATGGTTAACGCTGTGAAACAATTGGGTAGGTTTAAGCCATAAAACTACTTGGTTAAGGTAAAGAAGATCATGATTTGAGTTGTTATAGCGTAACATAACAACGTAAATATATAACAACCGCACTTAGCACACTTTCATGCAATGTTACGCAACATGCCGAACAATATTACTCAAGAAGCATAAAGTCAATGGTAACTTTTGGTTTCACACAGGACACGAACAGTGGTCTACTAGGTGAGAGTGCTGTGTTTGTTTGACCTATATGCACACTTTTTTCTCACCTGTTATACTCGTTATTACACCACGTAACTTTCATACCACGCAGCTTTTAATACCGCTTGCTCTATATACCACTTCACTTGATTGGATCAACACTCATTGTACTCTGACCGAATGCAGAAACATCGACATTCAACATATCCATGGTTTGCAGAAAGGTAAAATGCCAACAAATTTTCCTTGACTTGGCTGGAAAAGTGAAATATCTGCTGTGAAAAACTTCTGTGAATCCGATTCATTTTGGGAATGTAAACAAAAAAGGGTGCTCTAATGCGAGCAAGGCTAAAAAATTCAGGCAAGAAAGATTTATTCAAACCGCAAAACACCACGATCAATACAAGATGGACAGAATCTTAATAGAGAAGACAGAAAAGAAATGGTGATGCTAATTAAGAAAAACAGTCACTTTCAGTCTTAATGAAGTTGCCATGAGAGAAATGCAAAGTAGGAATTCAGAAACAGGTCTTGGAATACAGTGCCAAGACCTGGATCAGTTACATAATGCTATCAGGACACTTTTTCAAAAGGCAACAATGGACTAGTTTCCTTTCACCATCAATGGCCTGGAAACAGTCGTGTTTTTAAAACTGAGTTTTGATAAAAATCTCATTCTTTAGGATGAATGAATTTGTCACACAGCCAATAATACTCTAAATTCCCTTTTCCTCCCAGCTTACTATTGATGGTTTGACACTTAACTGTAAGATGTGCTGAAAGTTAGAACAAAGACTGAATGCAGGCTCCTGAAATGACTCCAGAGAGTTACACACTTTAACTTTCTACAGAAGAACATCGATCAGAGAATTCACAATATTCACATTATTCATCCTCTATTTCTACTGCCATCGGTGGCCTCATCTTTGTTACCTGCAGTGATAAGATATCCAGCCACTATGTTGTGCTCCAGTTGGGTAAAGGCACTTTTTCCCCCGTAAAGTGCAACATCATCTGAAACATTGACTCCAGAGTCAATCCCCATTTTCCGAGGTGTTTAAAAAAAGACCAAAACTAAAATGGCCCTTAATTTAAGTAAACGGTCTTCCCACTAACAGTGTGGGAAGGAAAATTACACAGAGAGGCAATAAAAAAATAAAAGAGATAAGAGTTAGAGAGTCGGTATTGCAAAATGCTTCGTCAAACTAAAATCTGTTGGGTTTTGTTGTGGAGTGGTGGTGTCCCCAGTTAGCAGAATGCAACAGGGCTGACCAAGAGAGGATTAACACTCACGTGGAGTTGCACGGCTCTGGCCAATAAGCTTTGACATTACAAAACTGTAGTTGAGTTAATGCCTGAGCCTCAAACTGAAGACTGTTCACTTCACATACTGTAGATACAACCAAGGCTGGATTAACAACTGGCAAAGAGGGGCACCTTGGACCCTCAAGGCCCCAGGTTCACTGTGTAGCAGTTACTTTGATTAATTAATAATGATTAATTAATACAAACTGTAATGGAAAGGGCCTTAAGGTGACTGCATTTTTACCTAATCCCGAGGCCCTCACTTGTTAATGTCAAAATCTAGTTTTAGAGAGTGCCAACACCCAAAGCAGTAAACGTTTACAGCTACTGAGCAGTGGTGGGCCGTCAGGGCCAGCAAGGCCTTCTCTGCTGGCCTAAACAGAATCACAAAGTTATAGCTATTTTATAATTTAATATTTTTTCTTAAATACACTACATGTATTATAATTTATAAAAATATTTTTCCCATTATCTTATGTTCTCATTGCACAGCTCCTGTCTTCCTCAGTTGCTCTGCTTCCAGTGCAGCTTGTTTTAAGTAGAGCTTTTATCCAATCAGATTTCACCTCTGTGCCTCTTGGTAAGAAGAGAGGCCCGAGGCCTGCAGACTCACATGTGAATCCCTTTGCAGTTTAAGTGAATGGGGACGATATTGTTGATTGTCATAGTGTTCAACCAATCAGATCTTTGGTTTGACATGTTGGGCGTATTCTTTGACATGCCAGAGCCTTCTAGCTGGTCTACAACTACATCAGCATTATACTGTATTCGCACTGCGTATTCGCGGCATTTGCGCTGCCGGTCTCGCCGGGGACTATTTGTGTTCATTCGCGTGAATCGCGCTGGACCCGCCGGAGAGGGGGCGTGGCGTATCGCCCTGAAAGCCGTTCAACTGCCATCAACCATGGAAAAAATAACCTCCATTTCTGCTTAGTACGTGTTGTGGAAGTCACAGATATTCCGGAAAACTAAACGCCGTCATGTCTGGTTCATAACATTGTCCAGAGGAGCTCCGTGGATTTTATCGAGCTGTATTCACTGTGTCTAGCAAGCCACACATCGCTGTTTACTACAGCTGTATGAACACAAAATAAACTGATTTGGCTGCGATTTAACGGCAATAAACCAACAAAAAGGGACTCCGAAATAACTACGTAATGATGCCGATTTGTACTTGTCTTCTCAATGGAGCTCGGATCGATCGGTGCTAGGGTATGCTAACATTGTAGCAGATCCACCAACACTCAGAATAACGTCATCTAGACGTAAATACGGCAGCGTCTATTCATTGTTTGTACCATATGGTTTACACACACACACACACACACTTATACACATAGTTTGGTCCGGTCTCTATTAATATGAGGTATCGTAGAGCTCTGGGTGAACACAGACGGCTACAGTATTTATTTCCTGTTTCAACAACGGCAGGAAGTCAGTGATGACAGCAGAAACATCTCAACGCTGATAGGCTGTCACGTCACAGCGTCACGCCATTTTTTTCGCCGAAGTTGAAAAATTTCAACTCACACATTTGGGGTGATTTAGCGTTTGACAAATTTGCGTCAATCGCACCGCAAATCCGCGTCAATCGCGCCACGCCATTGCAAATTCGCGTCACTCCAGTCTCATCGCGTCTGTGCATAGACTTTGTATGTAATCTACTCGCGCGAATAATTTGCGCCACGTTTGGTGTGAATGCACCATTACATGCAGCTCAGTTTTCAGGTGCAGCTCTGCAGTGAGGTGCAGCGTGTGCTGTGATTGGTCAGTGGGCGAGCACTTGACTATTGTGAAATGAAACTTAAACTGGCAAAATTTAGTCAGAGTATAGAGTTCAAATTGAAAGATATGGAAGAAATGCCATTTTTTTGCATTTTGCTTGGTGTAGATTATTATTTTTTTTACCTAGCTTTGTTTTTTTAACAAAAGGATTTGTATGAATGGTGTTCCTGGCTGACAGCGTTGCACATTTTATGGCTGGGAATGTGTTTGATTTTAACTGAGTATCTTGGTGTTTGGAGCTATGCTATGCTAACCTGAGGACGCCATTGCACAGCAGGACACCACAGTGCTTTTGAAAAGTTTTGGAGAGACTCAAGTGGATCTACAGATCAACGAACACGTTCGCAGGTAAACGGAGCTCCGGTGTTCGCCCAACGAACACCGAACAAACGGCGGCCGGTTGGTGTCTGTTCGGTGCGCGTTCGTCGAAAGCCGGTCGGCGTTTGTACACCGAACGTGCACCAAACAGACGCCGGACGGTGTCCGTTCGTTACTGCGGTCATGTGGTCCGTCATCCGCGGAACCTCGGTCACGTCAGCCGGCACTTGAAATGTAATGCTCGTCTATTCGTGGTGCTACGGTACGGGTGCTTGGATAGCCCAAAAAGCCCGGAAATAGACCTATATTTCATCAATAATTTGCCCAATTTGTTAAAAAAACAACGTCATTTTGTACATTATATGAAATCCAACAAAAAAATCTGAAATTACAGTTATTCAATTATGCATTATTATTACTGTTATGCAAGTTATAATATTGCCTAATCTTTGATCTGTAAAAAAAAACATTTCCTTCAATGGTTAGCTAAAATTTCCGTTGGAGTTCTGTTCATGATGACCCCATGTATCTCCTTGTCCAATGTAATGTAATTTTACTGTACAATCTTTGAGAAAATTTTATAAAAATTAATCCTTAAGAGGTTATGTCAATATTTCAATGGATTATTGTTAATGACGACCCTCACTATGTACATGAATATTGTCATGAAATATTACTGTACAGTTTGAGAAAATTAGATGTAAAATCAGCTCAAATGACATTTTGATTTTCATAATTTCCCAATATTTGACATTTTATAAAAATGAATCCTTAAGAAATATAGGTCTATTTCGGGGCTTTTTGGCTATCAAAGCACCCGTACCGTAGAACCTCGAATAGACGAGCATTACATTTCAAGTGCCAGCTGACGTGACCGAGGTTCCGCGGATGACGGACCACATGACCTCAGTCGTTCGTTGCGCGTTTGTACACCGAACGCCGGCCGGCGTTTGTACACCGAACACGCACCGAACGGACGGGTGCGCATTCGGCGAACGCCGGCCGGTCGCGGTCTATTCGTCCATGAGAAGGTCTTCTTACAGGAACTGAAACGATGTACTGGGATTAAACTCTTTTACTCTTTAAGTGAACAGCATTCGGTAAGTGACAAACTGGGTTTGTTTTTTTTACATCTGCAGTAACTGTTCATTTGTCTATCGTGTAGTTTTTATGAATAGCTCGCGCTCTAGCGCTGCAGTGTTGCTGGATTGATTTGTCATGCTTGACATTTTATGCGACTGGTTCTTGTCATTGTGTTAATTACATTGATTCTGACTTGTCCGTTAATGACGAAGCATCCCATCAATGCGGGGTTATTTCGGACATTTGATTCTCTGTTTGATTCAGTAGGGAACAGCTAACTGCTGTTGTTTCCCCGCTAAGCTAGTTAGCTTAGCCTCCCTGAACAGACGCAGGGCCTCAGTGTTGCCAACTCCTCAGTAAGGAAAGTAGCTATTGGCCGTCCTAAAAGTCGCTAGAAGTCGTTAAATGACGTCATCGTCTAATTTGCATAATTGTAATGAGCGCTGTAGGAGAGAGGCGGGAACAGCGGCAGCTTTGCGCATGCGCGATTCATTTGCAGTCTGGACACAAGAGTGTGGGTCTCCTCTTTCTGCAGCTGGGACTGCTGGCGAGGGGCTACTGTGAGACTAACTGCCTGTGAGTGCTTTGGGGTGGCGGAGGAGCTCACGGCAGCTCCCGCGTGCCGAACAGTACGTGCTTTCACGTCAGAGTCAAAACACCAGAAAAGTCTAACACCACCAGAAAAAGTAGCTAGATTTGTCGCTAGTAGCTTTTGACAAAAAAAGTCGCCATGAGGGTTTGGAAAGTCGCCAGATTTAGCGGGAAAGTCGCCAAGTTGGCAACACTGCTCAGCTGTTTTTTGTTATTGTTCCGGGTTCAAAAGGTCACACATCCCGTTATGTTACATGACCGCAGTCCACCGAAAACATTGTGTATTTCCCACAATTTAAGCTTCTGCATTTTCCAAATGCACTAGTATTATTCAAACGTATTGTTCGGTTCATAAGCCCCGTACCAAAAGGTTTAATACGAATACGTGTTTTATTACACCAATAGAAACAAATAACCGTAGCTCAGTAGAACAGCACAGAAGGCCCAGGTATAAAATGCACGGCCTGCCACTGCATATGAATATGTCACTGGTTCTTGTGAGTTTGTTGTTGTCATTGTGTTAATTATACTGATTTAGACTGTATGCATTGTCCGTTAATTACGAAGCATACCATCATGCAGATCCAATTGTCCTGACAATTAAATCCGTTTGGGCTGTTTTATTTTACAAAGCAAGAATTATGGTCTGGAGAAATGGGGATTGTGTGGCGATTGTTTAGCCCTGTTTCCATAGGACCCGAGAGCCCCCCATGGGGGGCTGTTTTAGAGTGTGTCGCATTCAGCGTGTCGTAGAAAGCATTTTTCATAAAGAAATGATTATTGCTCCAGACATTAAATATCGAATTAACGGGAAAAGTCCGAGCAACATCATCATACCAGCCATTGTAAACACTGCAAACACAATTATACATGAACTAATATATCTGGAAGATATCTAGAAGATTTGCCACAATTTTGGCCAAAAATCGACGACCTAGCTCTCTCTATGGCTCTCTCATCACGGAGCACTGATCGCACATGGCGGATGAACACATGCAGGAGGGGCATAATTCGACCCAGAAACGCACAGCGGCGTCGAAATTACTCTTTCAAACCGTTCAAAAGTTATGGGTATACATACCAACATCAGCGACATGTCACGAGAAAATTAATTGGGTAAAAAAAATTAAAAAAAATTACGTTTTGACAGTTTTGGCGATGTAAAACGGATTTATTCCAGCCGATTTCTGCACAGCTCTGCCCGCCATGTTGTGCTGCGAGTCTGACTGGTATCAATGCGCTCGCGGAATGAATCACAAAATGGCAGACTATTCTGTGAGGTGGAGCAATCCATGTAGAGAGGGGGGTTCGCCCTGCATTTTGCGATTTTTAGTCAATAAACAGACCCGGATACGATCAAACACCCCCGCATGGCTCCCGTTGGACTATCCCGCATCTAAAAAGCTCTCACACGAGTAAATCGGCCTTACCAAGGTCACATAGACGCACATTATGAGCCATTTATTGTTATGAATGACAGATATGACACATCATACCTGCTCAAAATTATTCAAAATGGTGTCAAACTGATTTATTAGGATTATTGAACACTCTTAGTGATAAGAAAAGTGAATATATAGTTAATATTTAGTTATATAGTATATAAAGTTGGTATACAGCAACGCAACAGCTGGTTCCGAAAATCAAAATTTAGATTTTTATGAACATTTATGCTGGCCTGCTTCAATCAAAGTAAAATATGTTGTGGGGACATGTAAAACGTGTTGTTCTATGTCTGTGGTGTATTTTTAGGCTTGCAGCTGCATTATTTAAAAAAAAAAAAAATGTTCAATACAAGTGCTTTTTTTCAGGCGAACCTAGAAATTTTTCAATTTGAGCTGTGCCATAAGTTACTAACCAGTAACATATACACAATATTTACACAATTCAACACATCTCACAAGTGTTACCAGTATTCTAGCATCATAATTATTAAAATAGACCTTGTAGTTAGAGCTCAGGACTCTCTTGAGTATGGGTATGCAATTTTCGAGCAGAGGCCTAAAAATAGGGCTAGGGTCCTATGGGTTAAATCAGTAGGGAACAGCTAAACTCTGAGGGGAGAGTTCGTAGCTTGTTTGCTGCTGTTGTTTTCCCATTAAGCTAGTTTAGTGTAGCCTCCCAGAACACACGTGCGGTGCCACAGCAGTTTTGTTTTTTTTGTCCCGGGTTCAGAGGTCACACATCCCGTTGTCTCCTACATGAGCGCAGTCCACCGAAAACATATTTCCCACAATTTAAGCTTCTACATTTTTCAAATGCACTAGTACTATTCAAACTTATTGTTCGGTTCCTAAGCCTCGTACCGAACGGTTTAATACGAATACGTGTCTTATTGTTATATTTGTTGTACCCCTAGAAACAAATAACCGTATCTGTGGCGTCATGAGGTTATTAGTTGGTTCAACAGTAGTCGGACATCACTGAAGGCCCAGGTATAAAATGCACGGCCCGCCACTGCTACTACTTTACTACCAGGCTACTCCCTATTGAGCCTCGGTTAACTTTCCACACGGACATGAGCTTCCGAGGGATCATGGCAAGGAAACGGACAGGTGAAAACCCACTGCATCGGACCCCCACGAAAGGGAGTGTCTGATTGTGTGAAGGCTTTTTTGTGAGCAGGGCCGAGATCCTTCTTGTGGCACTGGCACCTCTGTGGCACTCAGCGGCAAGCGGCAATCAGGTGCCACAACTGTGGCAGGTGAGCGGCACTAGTTCGGCACCCGTCAAGAAGCTGCCGAGCTGAGTGGGCGGAGCCACATTTCCTTAGAACACCCATTGTTACCACAGGTCAGCTTCCGTAAATCAGTTTTATGATTTTAGTTGAGTCACCCGTTCTCTGTATACATCCTTAGAGTAAGTACATTGTACTTTTTTGTTTCTCATTCATTTTATTTAAGTATGATTTTGCAACAAAAGGGAACATAATACACTCTTTCCAAATTATTACTTTTATAGTCAGTTACAACAATCGGCTAAAATAATGAAAATAAATCATCCATTTTATTATCATTTAAAAGTATATATATAAAAACGTTTTGTAACGACGCACTGCCGTTACTTGGACCACGGATAGTGCGTGAGATGGGGTGTGATGGAGTCAAGGAGAACATTGTATTGTATTTATTGTATGCATTTATTGTTGGACTGTGGATGCTGGGAGCATTGTGCACAGCTAGGACACAGAGCTGGTCCTTTTGTAGTGATGTGACCTTTCGTGTCGAGGCTTCGAAGCCTGTGTCGAGTAATCCAGGACGATTTTTGTGAAGCGCGTATCGAGGCCTCGCAATCCGGCCAAACCACGTGACAGATTCAGGAAATGGTTCACGGGTTTGGCGTGCGATTCGAAATATAAGGGGCAGTGAAACGCAATGGATCCCCTGTCACATTTTGTGTACTTCAGACTTTATTGCTCGTTTGTTTGCAAACTATTCTCTGTACCCCAGCTTCATCTGTGCCTGTGAAAGGGCGTTTTCTAAAGCAGGCGAAATAATCAAAAAAAAAAAAAAACACCTGAAGCTCAGCACTGTGGAAAAGTTGTTATTTTTACATAAAAATGAATAAAATGTTTTTTACGTGTTGCATTTCGTCCCTAGTAAGATAAGTAGAGTCACAAACCAAGAAACATAAGTATATTCGGCCGTGGGTCAATGGGTAGAGAGTAGTCTGGTAACCGCTAGGTCAGCTGTTCGATCCTTGACTGCAACATGTTAAATGTTGATGTCAAGCTTCGTACATGTATAAGAAATCGTATCTTTAACTTTTTTTTTTTTTAACTTTTCACATCACAACCCTCTCCCCAATTTATTTCCACTTTCCCTTTTGACCCCACCATTGTATCATAAAGACAGACACCATAATAATAAGTTCATAAGTTATGTATTGGCATCACAAACATTCATTCATTTATTCAATTCAATGCTTCACACACCAAAGCCATGGTGTCATTTTAATCACTCTGCCTGTTTTACATTTATTGTCCACTTGATGGCGCAGTATGCTCTACTGCGCCATCAAGTGGACAATGAAGCACCATGAAGCTTTGACCCATGTGTGAACCAATTGGATGGAAAGCTTCAATGCTTCATGAAGCTTCATCTCGCCATCACTATCCTTTTGTTCTCCCTGCCAACAAACAGACAACTGCAGTCAGTGACAAAGTGAATAGGCTTGACTGTGGTAAAAGTCTATGTGGCAGAACATTATTGTGTATATGCAACAACTTACCTCTGCCTGTTTCCTCTTCCCAGGGTGTTCGGGCAAAATATTCCCCGGGGCTCAAGCACCCATTTATAGTTCCGGGAAATACCAACTACAGGAAGCGGGTAGGGGGAAGTGAAGATATGTGTTGCTGTGTTTATTTAGATAAAATGAGGGTGTTTATAATGTACTTTATTTATTAGGCATTATAATTAGATGTTAATTAATATGGATACTTGTGGTGTGGGTAAAGTCATGTAAATATTTATTATACATATATGTTTAGCAATATACTTACCCGTAGATGGCAGGGCTGGTCCAATTAGCTGGACTAGGTGTTTAAAAGGGCCTCATTTTGTTTGTGTGGAGAATTAGTGGCGGCAACTAGACACTGGTGTCAGCGTTGGCGCGATGGTTGACTTTTAAAAATAGAAGAAGCAAGAACAAAAGGGATGTAAAAGCAGATTGATGAAGACGTGGCTAACTGTTGGTAGTCTGCTTTCATTTTCAACTTTCAGTCGGAGCATCTGAACAGGAGACTTGAACCGTGGTTAGAAGACCTTCTAATAATACTTTAGCTTGGCTCGTTTAACCATCACACTAATAAACCTTCGCAGATGCTGGCAGGAAGATGCCGTCAGTCAAAAAAAATCACTAATAACTATCATACATCTGAAACACGGCAGAGTGACACTTTTTTAAAAGTCTGTCTTGTGTTTTTAATTTAATTATAATTACTATTTTATTTTATTTTGCCTTTTAAATATAGTTGTTAAGAACATAGATATACACAAGTAAGGGACAAAAACCTCAACATTTTATAGAATAACAGTTTTCGAGTAAATCTACTTTCCACCACTGAAGAAGACAGACCTGTCACACCTCCATGTACATCCACATCCAGGACAGTAGGTGGCACTGTACGACTCGCTATTCTCTTATGAAGAGAAGAAGAGAAACGACCTTTGCATTGATCCATTTCCGCTTTACATCATCGTCGCTTCTTCATTCGAGAAGACATCGCTTCAGCCTAGCAGAGAAACATGTCGAGCCTCCTGAGGACCATTGCTAACCGCGTTGCTCCCGTCCTGCGGGGACACACCGTCATTCAGCGGGCTAATCTCTACGCTGGCCCGGCCAAGGAAAAGATTGGCACCGTTGTAAGTCTTATAGCTGGATATCTCCATTGCTAGCTGACAGACATTAGCTTAGCTGTCCTTGGCTGGCGAGGTCAAAATTGATATCTGTAAAGTCAGCTGTGTTAGGTCTACGTGTGTGTTTCGCTATAAAAGCCAACGTATCTAATTAACCCAAATAACTGAATTTAAACTGCTGCATGTCCGGTTAAGTATTTGAAGTCTTGGCTCATACGGAGCATAGCTCACTGTATGCTGTTCTAAAGGAGAGCAGGGCTGCAGCATTAGCATGCTGAAATGGACTAAACAAAGTAAAGAACAGTATTACTAGGATCAGTGTGCAGTTGGCTGTGGTTTAGCTAGTATAATATGTCTCGTAGATGGGGGGGCTTATTTCTATCTGTGACCTGGGGATCGTTGTTAGCCCGGCGGCGTGTTAATAGTAGCAGGTAGTTAGGAGTGGAACGGTCGGTAAGCAACTGTCAGGGTTCATTGTGTTAAGTGCAACTATCCGGTCCACTTTGAGTGCAAAGATCTCAGTGCTCTTTTTCTAATGCTGCTGAAATGAAACTTAGTACATTTACTCAAGTACTGTACGTAAGTCCAATTTTCAGGTACTTGTAGCCCTCTTTACTTAAATATGTATTACTTATTTTATGTGACTTTAAACTTTTAGTCCACTAATATTATACTTTTAACTTCACTACATGTATTTGATATCAATTGGTTACTAGTTAGGCTTGACTAGCTTTGCAGATTGTTCATCTGAAATATATATCAACTATTAGACTATGATGTATTAGTAAGCAGTATATAGCCTAATTATTAAGTATAATAAAGTAGTAAACAATTAGCTCGACCTTTACCAGCTGTAACTTTAAAGTGGCAAACGCATTAATGTATCAATAATTATTATCCAGTGATATAGTAAATACACGTCGGCCTGTCCGTCTTTGTCTCGTCTATTTATTGAAAAGCTACAAATGCAGCGTGTCCAATAACATGTGCATGTTATAGATAATAAAGTTATAATGTTATAAAGCACACGTGTTGCTCTTCTTGTTTGAGAGCAAAGACTGATGGGACTGCATACATGGCTGAGTGACAGCTTTTTAACATCAGCACATTTAAAGGGAAAAATAGTTCAAACTAATACAAAACTATGGTGTAAAATTAGTGCTGGGCAAGATAACGCGTTATTATCGTGTTAACGCATTAATTAATTAACGCCGCCAATTATTTTATCGCGTGTTAACGCAGTTTTGAAAGTCCGTTGCTCACTGGCTCTGAATACACAGACAGACCATGGGTCACAGGAGGGGCGGGATGTTGATCAGGACTGGCTTGGGATGGGCGTCATTATGCGTCTCAACCAATGAAAGCATTTGGGGTGGGCGCTGCAGCGCGATAGCCTATCAGCGTTGAGATGCTCCTGTCATCACTGACGTCCTGACGTTGAATCAGGAAACAAATACTGTATCCGTTTACGCCTATGTGACGTTATGTTGAGTGTTGATGGAGCTGCTACAATGTTAGCTTAGCATAGCACCGATAGATCCAGACTCTATTGAGAAAACAAGTATTTTAAAAGTTATTTATCTTGTCGTCTTGTGGAGAGAACTAACAAAACATGAAGGCAGACTTTTTACAAATCGACATCATTATTACGTAGTTATTTCAGAGTCCAGTTTTGTCGGCTTATTGCAGTTAAATCAGTTTATTTTGTGTTCATACAGCTGTCGTAAACAGCCGCCGTGTGGCTCGCTAGACACAGTGAATACAGCTCGATGAGATCCACGGAGCTCCTCCGGACTGTTATGAACCAGACATGACGGCGTTTAGTTTCCTGATATCTGGGACTTCCACAACACGTACTAAATCCAATCTGGGGAAGATTTTCGATTCAATTGTAGTGGCTTAAATTATTCATAGAATATTATTTCAAAACACATTGCTTTTTTTGTTGTGTTGATTTCATAAAATATAATAATTGTATAATATACAATAAATATTTTAACTGCTACTGTGTAAAGGGAATACTTCTGTTAAGCACCTTATTTGTTTAAAGTGTTTGCAAACCAAATGTTATTGCACTTTTGTTCATATAGCAGTACTTTTAAAATAAAAGTGCGCAATACACTACTTTTGAATTCATTATTGAACTTTGCGCATAACAATGCGATTAATCGCATGACTGTAAAAATTGTAATCGTTGCCCAGCACTACCTAAAATACTTTCTTTTCTTTTTTTTGATTGATGGATCTTGAGTTATGTGACGGCTGACTGAATCCTCTGTCTGTCCAGGAAACTATCATTGGATTGAGCTTTTTCTCCATGGCCATTCTGGGACCATCTGGATGGATCCTGGCCCACCTGGAGGACTACAAGAACAAAGAGTAAAATGGACATTTTAACAGTCTAACTGCATCCAAGTCTCCCTTCTCCAATGACAACCTGGGACCATCCTGTTCTGCTGCAGAGAAGAATATGGAACACGTTTTAGCTTCACTCGTCTACCTCTGACAGTTCCACTCCACATCCCAGATGGAAACCAGCTGTTTACCAACACTGACTCTGATACATTGAAAAGTGTACTGTGGATCTTCCCTCTTAAACAATATGTTACAAGATTAAATTTTAAACAACTATGTTGCTAAATGTGTATATTCAATGTGTCTATATGCTTTGGATACAGCTTTTTATTTAAATATTACAGATTCTTGTTTTTAGATTTAAACTTGATTTTTAGGATGGATTTGATGTCCCCATGTTTCAGGGTTTCATGCTGATAGAAGACTCTGTTTAGCGGGTTCCGCTGGTTGTCAGAAGAGCCTAAAACTAATGCTGCTCATAGAGGGCAAAAGGATCAAAAAGGGAGAGTAATGGGCAAAGACTTGCTGATAATTCTGCAGGTTAACCACACCGTCTGGATAAAATGAGGACACTCATCAGCAGTAGTGAAAGAAGATCTTTACTTAAATAGAAGTAGCAATGACACAATGTAAAGAGAAACACAAGTAAAAGTCAAGCATTTAAAATCCACAGAACAAAAAGATTAACAGCAAAATGTACTCAAAAGTGAAAATAGTCTTTATGCAGAAGAGACGCTTTCACAGTGTTTCATATTACATTACTGGATGTTTTCTAAATTTAAGGCAATAAGGTACAGTATATTTCAAAATGTCTTTTTACAAGTTTAACTAGTCACTAAAGCTTTACATTGACTATTGCATCTGTGTGATGTCTTTTATTTGTGAGTTGTCATATAATTTATTAGATTGACTAAAAACTGATCTTAGTGTCTATTTTCCCACTGATGCACCACAGCTATGTAGACCGACAAGAGAAGTCCATTGTCCAAACACTGTCAGAGTGTGCTGTTGGGTTTCTTTGTCCACTGCAAGGAACCAAACAAAAGAACAAAGAAATCATCACCCCTGCTGCCTCTCTTGTTGTTAACAAAAGACACAGCCCTCCCAGGTGCATGCTGGTCCTGTACCTGCATTAACAACAATCTTAGGTGCCTATTGCCCAATTTTTATAAAGAAAACAAGTGAAACAAATGAACTAAATAGCCCTACACTGGTTAATTCCAGTGTTTAAATAGTGTGATGCATTTTCTGCAAAATTACAACATTACTAATATTAGAAAATAAAATTACACGTCTTGATAGAGGGGTGAAAGCGCAGAATAAATGCAGTCCGTCTAAGATTTAGGTCCGCAAGATTCATTCAAGAAAACATGAGTGCAAGATGGAGGGGATGAAATAATATCCCCTCACACAATCCTCTTACAACACCCCTCCCTTTCCAGGTGTGTTGTAAAAGTGGTGGCCTTCAGGTCACATCACAACATGAAAGTCTCTAGAGCCAGTGTTTGGTTTGTTTCAAGGCGACTGTACGCAACACTGCGGTCTCTGAAGAGGATCCGCTCCTTGTGTAGAATATAATCGGCTCATTTTAAGTGAAGACGATTCATTAGTTTCAGTAGAATATACACTAATAAGAATATAGTTCTGTAAATAATGTTTCCATTTCTGCTAATAAATCTTCTTAAATCCTGCGCACTGTTCCGTTAAAGAGCATTGGCCTCCAAAAAAATTCTGATTGGTCAAAAATTATCATCTTTTGTTTGTCAACACAGGGCTACATAGGTGTCGGACAGTATGACAGTCAATAAGGACTGAAGGCCTCTATGCACGGCTTTCTGTCACTTGAAGGCATTTTCTAAGTGCACATTATGGCGGTTTTACAAAAATGTAAGCGCCAGAAAATTAGCAGAACATGGCTGCTGGACATGCCTCATTTTGTCTTAGACTAATGTCACCACTCTGGAGTGACCCAAACCGTAGATGTCCAAATCATTCCAGATGTACCTGGCTGCTGGAGAAAGACCAAACATGCCAGAAATAAAGCGTGGATCCCCTAGTTATACAACGCATCATCCCGCCATCACATCTATGTCCCAACAAAACACAGGACTATTTAAAAAAGACATGTTATTCCTTACACATTTATTAAATAATAGAAAGCTACACATGTTTTCATAATATGATGATAGTAATGAACTAAAAAAAATTCTTTCAAGGATAATTTGCTTTAAAGGTCTGGTGTGTAGGAGTTGGCGCTATCTAGCGCTGAGGTTGTAGATGGCTACCAATCGTGTGGGACACATTGTGGCCAATGCGAAAACACGTAAACACAAATAGCCCCATTTAGTGCCAATGTTTGTTTTCTACCTTCTGGGCTACTGTAGGAACATGGCGGTTGATGAGGACCGGCTCCACATGTAGATATAAATCATTCTAAGGTAACAAATACACAACAATTCTCATTTTCAGGTGATTATACACTTAAGAAAACACATTTGATAATATTATACTTCATGTCTGCTTATAGATTCTACTAAATTCTACACACTGTACCTTTAAGTAAAGTATTTATTGACTGTTTCCTAAGAAAATTGCCCTTTGCTGCAGGGATGAGTGACATTGCCACATGAAAGGACAATGTTAATAAGAATGCTGATACAACAGTTAATCAGTTGACATTTTATTTATTTATACATATGTTTTCAGTCATACCATTGTGACTGATTTCATTAAATGTATCTCTATAAATCATAATGTACTATTATTCATTATTTATTTTGGCCCACACGGACTTCCATACCTTCACCGGCAAAATCACTTGACCGGAAGTGTTTCACGTGACAAAACAGACATCCTGAGACACGTGACTACTCTTCCAACAAACAGCGTATTTCTTAGCAGGTAAAAACGCATAACTGATTAACTGTGTAGTCAAGGCTAACAACTAACTAACTAATAGTTGCAGATGATCTGAGTGACATCCACCGACTTGTCAGCAATAACTGTACAACTTGGAACTAAACTTGTCAGAATCCGCTCCTGTTTAGGTTGCTTCGCTTGCTAATAATAGCAACTGCCTTAAGAGCAAACACTCTGGACAATGGTCGCTAACTGTGACGGCACATCTGTTCCTGCCTCAGTAGTAGATAACAGCTATATTTGAGACGCTATTTTAGAGAAGTGACGCATTGTACTGCAATAACTTTGATGAGCAGCTAACGTTAGCATAGAACACATTCCGTGTTTTCTCACACTGCTACTGTGTGACTCCTGTAAAGATAGAACTTTGTTATGTTCTTCACATTGATTTAGCGAGCCAACACAATGAGGCTGGTCATTCTGGACGACTTTGACCTGGCCAGTGAGTGGGCAGCTAAATACATCCGCAACCGAATCATCCAGTTCAAGCCCTCCGCTGAAAGACACTTCACTCTGGGCTTACCTACAGGTGAGCACCGTTCACACAAACCATAGTATTCTTCTGTGTGCACATTATTTCTGTAACTTTTCTCAACATCAATGTGTCTCATTGCTTTCAGGGAGCACTCCCTATGGATGTTACCAGAAGTTAATAGAATACTACAGAAGTGGCGATATCTCATTCAAATATGTGAAGACCTTCAACATGGATGAATATGTAGGTGAGTTAAAAGCTGACTAATTAAAGGTAGGGGAGGTAGTCTTCTTCAATTTCATCTCATTACATCCTGACAGCAATCAAATGCTCTGTCCAAAATAATAATAAAATAAATGATATCTGTGGTAGTTGGAGGAGGACAAAATACAGCATAATTGTATTTTAAGGTTATTTAAGGAGTTGACACTGGAGAGAAAGTGCTCTGGCTTTAAAGTTGAGGCAGGTTATGACCTCACATCCTCTTACAACGACCAATATTATCACTCTTGTGTTGTTCCATACACGATTCAACGAATGCCTTTAAAGGAAGTGGTCGATATATATGGTATTTCAATGGCCGGAGAATATTTAGAGACGAGGGTGCCCTATGGCCGTTGTATAATGCCGACATGTTTTTTGCATCTGATAAAAAAATTTTAAAAAAACAACAATTAAAAAATAATAACAATAATAAATCAGACAGAACATTACTGAATGTAAATGAACATATTTTGCATATTATATCAATCGGTCTACCGCCATTTTGAAGCATGCAAGATTCATGTAATGCAGTATTTATTTTCTCAAACTAGTGGGGCGCAGCGGTATTGCAGGTGGGGTGCAGGGGGAAATGCAGAATTTTTTCATTTCAAGAACTTTATTCATACCTGCAAACTTGTCGCTTTTTGGTGAAATTCGCCATTTTGAATCAAAATATATTATCCACGTGAAACGTGTAGATCCGTAGAGGTTTTTTTTTTTGGGGGGGGGGGTCAACTGGCCAGCCAGTGTTTCTCAGATTGGAGTGAGACGAGGAGAAAAGGTGATGTCGTGATCTTCACAATAAAACATCTTTGATGTGACATGTCAAGTCTTGGCCAATCAGCGTTCAGATGCCTACACCGTCTTCATTTCCCTCCGTTAAAGTTCCGTTATGTTCTGTTACCGTTCATCAGTGGCGGGCCGTGCATTTTATACCTGGGCCTTCACTGCTGTCCTGCAGCTGAAACACAGCTATGGTTATTATTTGTTTCGTGTAAAAATTAAGCCAACACCTATCTGCAGAGAATACTCCGGGAGTGCATCTCCTCTCTGCTCTGACTGCAGCTGGGACTGCTGCGCGAGTTACCGCCTGTGTGTGCTTTGGGGCGGCGGAGGGGCAGCACCCGCTGCTCGTTCACGACAGTAACTGTAGAACGGTAGTCCTTTAACGTCACAAAAGTCTCCAACAACACCAGAACAAGTTGCTAGATTTGTCGCTAGTAGCTTTTGACAAAAAATTCGCGATGAGAGTTTAGAAAGTCGCCAGATTTAGCGAGAAAGTCGCCAAGTTGCCAACACTGGCACCGGCTAAATATGTCCCTAGAACAACACTGGACGTAACAATGGTTCCTATCACATATAAAACCAAACAAAAATCCATCTTCATAAAAACAAGTTGTACAAATAATAATATATAAACAAGCATAATAAAGCTACTGCAGATGTAAAAACAAACGCATTTAACTTACCAAAGCTGCTGTTCACTATTTAGCTGCTGTTCCTCCTTTCTTTGTTAACAAAGAGTTTAATCTCATGTTTGTTCGGTACATCCGTGCGTTTTAGTTCCAGTAAGAAGTCCTTCTCGATTCATGGACGCCAGTGAAGACAGTCAAGCCTCCCCAGTTGTATTTCTTAAATACGTTTGAATGCGTTTGAGGCTGAAAATGTCCGCTCGACAGAGGCAGCAGATATTGGGATTGTCACCGCCCAACATGTCAGGCTAGCCCACTGACCGATCACGTATGGCTAGGCTAGCTAGCAGGCTCTGACACGTCAAAGAATACACCCAACATGTCAAACTAAAGATCTGATTGGTTGAACACTATGACAATCAACAATATCGTCCCCATTCACTTAAACTGCACATGGATTCACAGAGACGCAGAGGTGAAATCTGATTGGATAAAAGCTCTACTTAAAACAAGCTGCACTGGAAGCAGAGCAACTGAGGAAGACAGGAGCTGTGCAATGAGAAAATAAGATAATGGGAAAAACGTTTTTATAATTTATAATATATGTAGTGTACTTAAGAAAAATTATTAAATTATAAAATAGCTCTAACTTTGTGATTCTGTTTAGGCCAGCATAGAAGGCTTTGCTGGCCCTGACGGCCCACCGCTGCCGTTCAGACTTGCTGGGTTAAGTTAACGTCCACTGCACGCGGAAATTTGTCGACTGTTAACGTTCGTCATTATCACGATTTAGGAGGAAAAAAACGTAACGTGATGAAACATGCAGCCCCCCCCCGTGTTCCGGTTCAGTTCACGCGGTCACTCATTAACGTTAAACCCGAACACCGGCGCATCTGGTTGCAGGTTGTTGTTTTTTAACTCAAAGTAGAATGAGGATGATTTCGTGGTCAGAATAACTTTCATGACCACGAAACATGAGGCCCAGATACTGATGAGATGATGAGGTCTAAGAGCTTCAGGGAGAGGAGGCTGGTTGTGTAGCGCGGCTTGACGCAGGGCTGAGCTGTGAGTGGAGCTGGGCCTGGATAAAGGTGGAGCTGGGCCTGGATAAAGGTGGAGCTGGGCCTGGATAAAGGTGGAGGTCTAAACAGACTGAAGTACAGCTTCCTGCTGTCACAGTATTTTAAATGCATTGATAAGGCAGGGTATGCTAAATGCAGCCTCTGCTCCAAGGAGATAAAGTACAGCAACAAGGGCTCACATGCCCTCTCATCACACTGACACACTGTTCACTGTGATGACCACAGCCAGTGTACTAACAGTCCCAACAGTCCCACGTGCAGTTAAATCACAGCTATTATTTTACTCTTGATAAGCTACTTTAGCCAGAGTAGATTATCATTTTAATTTAAATAATTGAACTGGATTGAATGCATATTAATTGCTAACAGTACAGTAACAGTGGAAGTTAATGTGAAGGCGTACAGTAACAGTGGAAGTTAATGTGACGGCGTACAGTAACAGTGGAAGTTAATGTGACGGCGTACAGTAACAGTGGAAGTTAATGTGACGGCGTACAGTAACAGCGGAAGTTAATGTGACGGCATACAGTAACAGCGGAAGTTAATGTGACGGCGTACAGTAACAGGCGATGTTCTCGCTACTCTTGCTATCTTTGTTTTTATATGACTAAAACTTTTGAAAATGAGACCTCGGACCTTTTGTCTAAATATAGGTTAATAATAATAGAGCTGAAATACTGATTAATAACTGAATAATGAATTAGTTTTTTGCTTAAAGTAAATGTCTTATCACTTAATTTTCTTCTCAGAGTACACCAGAATGCTACATTTTAAAGCTCATATTTAAAATAAAATTCTCCTTTGTTTTGTTTAGTTTTTTACAGGTTGCACTTTATTGTTATTATCTTGAAAATATATTGAGTCCAAAACTGGTTAATTGCAGCCACAATAAGCTATTTTTTGCCAAATATTAGTTATTTTTTGCACAGATTGAACTTTTTTTGCATTGTTCTAACGAAGCGATTGCACATTGTATTTGTTTTTGTCTGATGGAGCAATCTGGTTTACTTGAAAGTGATTGCAATTTTCTTTATTCTATTATTTGAAAAAGCACAGATGGAGGAGTCACAAAATGTTATTTCAATAAAAGTTCAACATGGAGCATTTTGTTACAATTTAGTTGGGGCGGTGGGGCATGAACATTTTTCTTCCTCCAAAGAGGCGTGACAGAAAAAGTTTGAGAGCCGCTGATGTAATGTAACAAACGGATACACGTCATTAACCTGCTTCATTTATCTGAGCCACTCTTTTGTTTTCAAATCCCTTACCCCGGCATGGCCTGTCAAAATTGCAGGTCATACTTTATCCAAGAAAACATTTTCTCCATCAAAACTGTTGATGAAACACCTATAAGATTATAAAGACTAGGTGGAAACCTAGTATATGTCTGGACTGTGCTAAATTGTGGAAAGCTGTTGCAGACGGCAACCTCCGGTTCGTCCGAGCAAAGCCGATGCGTCATGTGTTAAAGCTGCATTCTCTCTAGTGTCCACCAGGGGGTGACTCCTCTGGTTGTATAGAAGTCTATGAGAAAATGACTCTACTTCTCTCTTGATTTATTACCTCAGTAAACATTGTAAACATGAGTTTATGGTCTCAATCTCTAGTTTCAAGTCTTCTTCAATACAGCATGATGTTCATTTAGTAAATGATGGTCCTTTAGGGCGGGGCTACTGGGATTGACAGCTCACAGCCGCTACCAGAGCCGTATATGGCGTCTTTACGTCACTGCTCCGCATTCCAAATATGGTAACTTCTATTCATTGGTTGCGAAAAAACATCCCGATGACTAAGTCTACTTCTTATAGACAGTCTATGGTCTTTAGTCTTCAGATAGTAGTGTCCTAGACCAGCAGGGTAATTTGCTCTTAGCGTGCGATAGATTTTGAATGAGCCTACCGCAGTCACTGAGTGGAACCTGCTTTAAAAGCCCCCTGAGGATGTAATTGAGGACTCTCCGCCCCGCGCTGTAAAAGGCTCCTGAGGATGCAGTTGAGGACTTCAGCCTATCGGGGAAACTCCAACACTGGACTGAATGGTTCGCTTCCTCAATCACTCTGTCCCTGACTTACTGTCTTTTGTGCTCATTGGGCTGCTGCGTTCCAGCCAAGAACAACTGAAGAGTGTCGCACAGAATCCGATATGACTCTTTATATTATAAAAATTTGACAAAAACAGCCACTTTATCATATCCCATAGGAGGAAAGTGTCTTGGATAAAGGCAAGGCAAGTTTATTTGTACAGCACATTTCAACAAGAAGGTAATTCAAAGTGCTTCACATAAAACCATTAAAAGCATCAGAACATAAGGCAAAAGAAAAGGAGATTTAAAAACAACTAAGAACATTGATTGAAACATTAAAAACAGTCATTAAAAAGCAGTGTAAGAAATAAAATACTGTAGTAAAATGCAGAAATTGATTAATATCCTTGAATGTGGTTCAATTAAAGGCAGCAAACAGAAAAGTCTTCAATCTTGAGTTTAAGGAGCTGAGGGTCTCTCAGCTCCTTAAACTCTAAAGGGAGTTGATGCATCATAACTGAACGTCACAATAAAAAACACATTCAATGTGTTAGATCCGGGGGTTCTCTGGCCCGATACGGGGCTACCTACTGACTCAGCTCTCTACTAAAAGATTGTCGAGCTGGTGTTCTGTCGAGGAAACTCGCCTGGCTTCTGCTAACTACCGTTACTCCTGACGTCTACCCTGCATCCACTGGTAACGTGCACTCGGCCGAGGGGCCACCCTGGCCGGGCGCTTCTACCTAGTCGCGTCAGTTATGGCAGCTTTCCTCTTTTGGATCTGGGCTCTTGGTAAATTGCCAGGTTTGGTTTTAACGGCTAGGATTATAACTAAAACCGTAAGGGACTGTTAAGTGGACCGGTCACTAGGATAACCATTAAGAACTCTGGTTGTTAACATACAATAGCTTTACTCTTTTACTGCCATGAGGAACTTCTACTACCTCAGCAAATGAATGCTGTTGAGAACTTTACTTTAAATGCAGATTAGATATTTATTGCAGGATATATTTAGCATGGGCACAGCTACAGCTCTTCATAATATAATACGATACTTAATTCAATCAGGTTACAATTTCTTTTCAGGTTATACTCATTAATTGTCGATGCCGAGGCGGCTCGGTGGAGCTGGATTCACAATGTAATAAAAAGTCCTTTGTGGGGTTTTCAGGAGCTGAAGGTCCGGCCGAACCTTCAGCTCCTCCTGCGAGGCCAACGAAGTCCGTTCAGCGCTCTCTCAGACTCAGTACAAAGTCTTTAGGGCGGCTGCGTCCATCTGTTGTCCGGTTGTTAAAGTCAAACAGGGGGGAGAGGAAAATCTCCGTCTTCCAATCTTTGTCCTGGAACGGCTGTCTTCTTTCCGTGAACAGAGACGAAGTCCTCCGATGCGGTTGTTGAGCGAGGTCCAGTGTTTTCTCTGTGGAGCACTTGGGTGGCTCCCGCGTTGAATCCCGTCTTGCTATCTGCAAGTCTTCCTTTTTATAACTTGGAGCTCTCTCCCCTCCCTCCTCCCCAACACTCCCTCCCTCGGCATGTGATTTACATGACATCATTGATTATATGTGTGTGTGCTGCGAACAACGCCCTAACGTTCTGTGTGTGGATACTCTCACTTCCTTCATTTCTGGACATGTTCGGACATCACCCCAACATCTGTTATGATCTCATCCTTTAAAGTCCCCACCCTGCTTACATCAGCTCTTTCCACACACACACAGACTTCACTTCTTACTCAGTTATACATACATTATTATCAGTTTACATTTGTTAAATCACTTCATTCGTCCTATGTTATACATACTTTCTTTAAAATGATTACTTATTCCCCTTATCCTACTTTCATATCGAACTGTATTCCCTCATTTAAGGCAGCTTCTCTGGGATCTCAATCCTCTTTTTTGACAAATGGAATAAAAATATATGTTACATTATGACAATTGGCATAGAAGCAGCTTTCATCTGGCTGCAAGAGTAACATTTAGATGAATCAACACAGCAATCCTGTATTAAGGTCCATGCAGTGTTTTATTTTTAGCCTTTTTCTTAATTGTGTACCTTCCACATCCTCGTGGCCCCAAAGCTCTAGTGTCTCTCTGGCCCTTAAGACGGAACCAAAGATCTGCCGTCTTCCTCTGAAGGCTGAATTCATGGCACTGCAGCACTTTAGTAAAAATAAAAAGTTGACCCTCTTGTTCCCCAGGTCTACCTCGTGCTCATCCCGAGAGCTACCACTCCTACATGTGGAACAACTTCTTCAAGCACATCGACATTGATCCGGCCAACGCTCACATCCTGGATGGAAACGCAGAGGACCTGGAGGCAGAGTGTCAGGCCTACGAGCAGAAGATCGCAGAGGCTGGAGGAATCGAGCTGTTCGTCGGAGGTCAGACACACGGGCTTCTTACATGTTGTTTTGTCTGCCGTATCTCGTTAGTTGTAGATGCCACAGGTATCATTTCATCTAGGGGTGGGGTAAAAAAAGAAATTGACACAGCATAGTATCGCAATATTTTGTCTGGCAATATTGTACCGACACACGGATGCCAGGTATCAATCTTTTGTTGAAAACTATTCATTTTGCAAATAAATAAAACCTTTTGGTAACAATTGCCTTGTCCACTAGATGGCGCTGAGTTTTTTTCTGGTGCAGTCATGGGTAAAGTCAGCGGGATTGACAGGAAGTTGTGCTAAAGAAAGGTGTAAGGTCGGTCAGTCCGTCTGCAATAAGAATGATTGAAGTGACATGAACCACGTAAAAAAACAGACAAACTGCATAATTTGTAGCTGAAAAAGGGTAATGGATCGCAATCTATTGCGATACTCAACATTGCAAAATGTTTAACCACGCAATTAGGATTGTGTCATGACTTTATCGTATTGTGGGGCCTCTGCTGATTCCCACCCCTAATTTCATCTCTTGGGTGACTTAAAGCTTCTCTTTAGCTCCGTCTTTGACCGGTTCCTTCTCATGTATCCTGTAGGTATTGGACCTGATGGTCACATAGCGTTCAATGAGCCAGGTTCCAGCCTTGTTTCCAGGACCCGAGTGAAAACCCTGGCAAAGGATACCATCGTGGCCAATGCTCGTTTCTTTGGCAACGACCTCTCCAGAGTTCCCACCATGGCCCTGACTGTGGGCGTCGGAACGGTTATGAACGCCAACGAGGTCAGATTAACAGGCAGTTCATTTATCCCTCCGTTGTCCTGCAGTAACATAATCTTATGTAACCATGTTAAGATATTCTAAACCATACATGCACTATATATATACTCTTAGTGTTCCTTCTTTCCTGGATCCATGTTCTCTGCTCAGGTGATGATTCTGATCACTGGAGCACACAAAGCCTTTGCTCTGTATAAAGCCATAGAGGAGGGAGTGAACCACATGTGGACCGTATCTGCATTCCAGCAGCACCCGCGCACCATCTTCGTCTGTGATGAGGACGCCACCCTGGAGCTACGAGTCAAAACGGTGAAATACTTCAAAGGTACCAGCACCGTGTGTGTGTGTGTGTGCATGTGCGTGCATGTGTGTGTGTCCTTCGCATATCTCGAGAATGGTTCATCCGATCTACTTTGAATAAACAAGCGATGGCGCTCTGTGCAGGGGCGGGGCATCAGGGCTCTGCAGTCTTTGCAGACTCATTGACTGCAGTTCACTTTTGCTGCTGGATGTACCAATGTAACAACCAAACACGTCTTCACTTCCCTGAAGTCAGTGAACATGTTGTTGGTGTGGAAGTAACTAAATCAGACTTATTGTATCGTAATTCATTCCCATCATGCTGCTCGGAGTAATCACAGTAACTGGCTCGTCTGCTGACAGCACGGTGTCTCACCCCAACACAGTCCTGCTTATAACGGAGCTAACGACTAACGTTAACAGAGGTTGCATTGACTCGGAATATGATAGGTTCAATATATTAAGTAAAAATGAGTGTTGGGCGAAGGTAAATTATAACGCTATCATATGTTCAAGTGTAATCTTGTAAAATGTAGTTTTTTGGAGAGAAACTTGAATAAATCCAGGAGAGGTTTTCACACCATGGTGAATTATGACCTGTTTAACTTCAAGTCCGGAGTCTTGTTGCTGCTTTTTAGTCGTTAGGAAAAAAAATGAAATTGGCTGGTCAGAATTTAAAACATTTTAATTTGTCAAGAAAATAGCAATCGGAGCATCCACAGCAAGTGGCTCTTCTGGGGGCCAAGCAATCATCCCGCTCTGGATAGAGCGACGACTGACTGAACGGGGTCAGCATGGGTGGAATCGGATGCGGGCGGGACATTGAGTGAGGCTACAGAATGGTGACTACAGACAGAGAGGCAAAGAAGCACATTCTTAACATGTTCAATCTTATCAGCCATCGTACTAATAGAAGGAAGGATTGCGGTAAAGGTAAAATGTTTAGAATTGCAGCTGATGTTTGGTCGGTCCTTGGTCTCATTCTGGTTCTGAGTGTGAAAGCAAAACACACCAGTCACAGGATTCTGTGATTGGAGATATGTGATTTTTAGAATGAATTTAAAAGAAAAACTAATATTAACTCCTGCGCTCTGTAAAAGTGATGCACATATTTCTGCATATGTAATGAATTTTAAAAAATGTGGTAACCATCCCAACATGTTGGCTCGTCGGCATGTGATAGCTGGGCTTTTCAAAAAAGTGTAAAGCAGTTGGAACTGAGGTGTGTTGTGATTTTTACAGTTCCTTGTTAAAAACTGAATGAAACGGAGCGACCACACAGTAACTATCCTCACTATGGGATCTAATAGTTCCTACCTGTTAGACAATGAGATGAATGAGATGAGGAGCAGTTACAGTGTGGACTAGTGATGCCAGTAATAGTCTGTTATCTCAGTGAGTTCTTTGTAGAACCAGAGGAGATATATAAGCACATCAGGTTCAGTATAGTGCTGCTAAAGCTGATGTCAGTCCCCACAATTAGATTTTCCTCTGTGGGTCCAGAAAGCACTGATGATGCAGGATGACCTCACTAAATCAGTCCAATGAAAGAGTCCTATGACTTGATGTTTGTGCCTCTTAGTTTGTTTGTAATAATTCAGTGTGAACAGGAAACCGACCCAAACTCTGAGCTGCTCAAATTCAACCACATTACAGCATCCTGGAGAGAAGGCCAGCCTGTTGTCCATAAGAACAAATGTGACTGAATCTCACAGATAATGAACGCGTGTCATCATTTCTGATCATTATCTAAAACTGATCAGTGCTCTGAAGGGGTCTTAAATGATATGAAACACTTTGTTACCTCTGTACACTTTCTTATTCTCAAGTACAGTCAACATGTTACTAATGGTGTCATAACATACACATAACGTTTATTGTAGGCCAACCAAGAAGTTAGCATCACACTGGTTCTATCAACAGAAAATAAACTCTGTTGCAACAAACATTTATGATACATGTTTTGTTAAACAAGATAATCATCAAATGAACACCACTTGATTTTAGCAACCACCTTTTTTGAGACACAAAGAATAAAAACATTAAAATACCTTTAGCTTGTGTTAACCACATACCTTATTTCAGACATCCAACCAAAAACCCCACGGTCTTTGAGACGGGGAACCGGAAGTGCAAAAATGCTGACTCATTCTTGCAGAACTCTATAATGCAAACAATATTTGTGTGTGTGGGACATGCTGACGATATCCTTTGTGTTTTCCTTTGCAGGTTTAATGCATGTTCATAATAGACTGGTGGACCCAGTGCTCAGCATAAAGGACCAGTGAAGGAAGAGAAGTGAAGATGATATCCCTGCATACAACATGAGTGGGCAGCCTCATTCTTCTGGTACTGTGCCTGAGGATCTGTTGAGTGTATGAATGTCCTAGCCTGTGCATTGAGTTCATGCATAGATTGAACTGCCTTTGGATAAAGTCAACAGATAATGAATGAGAGGTAAACGATAAAGGGACCTATTCCCTCTGAGGTTCTTTGTTCAGCAGTTTCCATTTAAAGGGATAGCACCAGTTCGCTGGCTCTAGTCACTGCTGGCAGTCTTGGTTGTCGTTGGATGACTAGATTTAAAGTCATCATGACGGTAAACAGGAAGTCTTCATTCTGTTTGTTACACAGACTGAATGAAACTGTACAGTATATATTTGATAAATCTTCTTTATGTTAGCTTTGTTTTCTCATCTCCCTGTTACTGTTTGGACAGATGAATATATAAGATAATAATACTGCGTGTATATTGGTAATATCTATTAAGCCAACACAAATAAACGTTGTCAGAGGTGACCTTTGACTCTGGTCAAACTGTTGCTGTCGTATAGTTTTGCATAGTCACACTAGTAGCAGCCCTGCACCAGTCAAAACTCTTAACACAAATCTTCCAGTTTTAATGTCACAGAATAATCTCAACTCAAGGGCCACTTGTTAGCTTTGCCAGAGCTTTTAACCGTATCTAAGGGTCTTCATGGGTGAATGGAGTTTGCTCAGTTTGTGAGTGAAACTTCAGTCGCATGATAACAGGCGGTTGTACATGGGGGAGGTAGAGATGGTCTGCTGTGTCAGATCTTCCTCCAGTCGCCCACTAACTCCTGGTCCTCGACCTTTGACCTCTTCCCAGTGGCTGCTTGTTCTGGTCTGGTGGCTCTGAGGACTGTGAGATTTGGTTGAAAGCTTAAAAAAAAGCTAGTTTGAGAATCTTGGGTTGAGATTATGTTTGTCACATACTGAGGCCGACGTCAGGTCTGAACTTCTGACCTCAAACACCCCTTTAGTTTACCTCTGGCATTTGTCTTGCAAGCATCCTTGCTAAGTAGCTGAGCTTCACAAGGTTTGTAAAATATATTTGAATATTCTTTTCTTCAAATTGCATTCAATTGATTGTTTCTCTGGACGTAGGGTAAGCGGCTCCACTGCAGCAGGCTGCGGTGCGGTGCATGCTCCGTGCATGTTTAACTACTGTCAGTACTGCTCTAGTATCAGACAAAGTGTAATGTAGACCGTGATGACATTTACTGTCAAATTCAACAGCATCTAGATTTATGATGCATCTAGTCAACTCTTGCAGCCTTTCCCTTCGAGTACTGCTGTGATTCATTTCCATGGTTCTAGTTCCAGCATCCTGTTCTTGGTTTTCTTTCATTCTAATGTCACTCCTCGTGTTCATCGGGCTGTCACTCCTCGTGTTCATCGGGCTGTCACTCCTCGTGTTCATCGGGCTGTCACTCCTCGTGTTCATTGGGCTGTCACTCCTCGTGTTCATCGGGCTGTCACTCCTCGTGTTCATCGGGCTGTTACAGGTATGACGTCTAGTCAGTGTTCGTGCACACATACTGTAGTAATTTTACTCCTTATTTTCTAATGACAATAAAATGTTTGCTAAGAATTCTTTGTTTCATAATTGTCTTTTATGAAATGCATATCTAAAGGGAAAGGGGATAATGATCCTTTTTCCAACAGAAACAATTTCTCCACAACTTCAGAAGTCACTTGATCCGAGTGGCAACCCATGTGTACTCCCATGAGATTAAATATATTAATATCATTAGACAACGAGAATGCTATGTGTATCTAAGTAAGGGACGAAATGAGGAAGTTTCAATGAATATTTATTTTTAAATGCACTTGAGGAAAGGTAATTAAGTGGTGCGTCATAAAGCAGCAAGAAGTCAACCAGGGCAGACAGTGAACAGTTAGCCTTTTCAAGTCGGGAAATTCACTAATTTAAGTTTTTGTGCTGAAGGATTCCGGATTATTCCGTAGCGGTGTGTATTTATAAGGTGTTTTTGCTCTACTACACTACAAAATACCTTAACTCAGTGTAGAACTGAGAGTTGTTTTGGTGTCCAGTTAAATTAATTTGAAATGTATTTTTTATTTAAGTTGTTTATCTACATAGAAATCTTTGACCCTTATTCCTAAATGAAGGTACTCTGCCTTTGTCTGCAAAATAATAAGGTGGACCTGCCAGAGGCAAAAAAGGTATTCACTTCCATTTGATCTCTCACTTTGTGTTTAATTACAGTTGGCACTATACTGTTTGATAATACTTTGACTACGGTTCATTTTCTATGGTTTACGATCATCACCTGGTTACTTTGAACTCAGTTCTGATTGCATGTTTCTGTCTCTTCGATAACATAGCGTTGGCTCACACAAGCTTTTCATTTCTGCTATGTCAGCTTATCTGGTTTCAGCAATCCAGATACTAACACTGTTCCAAAAATAACACAAAAGTTATTTCGAACCAAAATGAAGGTCTTTTGCATTTTGTAGGGCAGTGCAGCTGTAGTAAAGTTTTGAAAGTGTTTTATAGGTGCTGGGTTGAGATATGTAGTCCTTTGCATTGTTGTTCAACAGAGAGTTGAACCACGTGGTGGGTGGATGGACTGGAATCCTTGAACAGAGGAAATGACATAAACTGATAGATGGAGTCACAGAGAAGGCTTTGCTGATGAAGCTGTTTGTATCATTGAAGTCTAGTTTAATGTCTTATAGGCTATAGCCTCGTTAAAGGTAGAATCTTTGGAAAGAAGTGCTTTTGTATGTCTTCCCCAGTTTATTTTAAGCTGTAATCATTTTTCCCTGACGGAATTGATTTGCAAGACATTTCTCTGATTTATTATTATATTCAAAGTGGTCATGTCGTTTTTATTTGTCATCTCCTGCGTATCTTATTTATATTTTTTAGATTCTCTCTTTGATTTGTAGTTGTGGATTGTCTCCATGCGCTGCCTCGTTTTTCTTCTTGTTGGATGAATATGACATTATTTCCCCCAGACTGCTGTTTTGTGTTTTCCCAGTTTAACGTAGGTGAGTTGTTCGGAGAGTAATTTATGTCCATGAAGGATGCAAACGTTCTCCTTCAAAACCTGTCAAAGTCTGCATCGTTTATGGGATGTCTTCCTGTGGAGGTCTAAGGACATCCAGCAGGAGCATGATCACTGATTATGTTGTGTATGTGAGAAAGAAGTCTGTATGAGAGAATGAGTGACAGTCAACCAAACTTTATTAAAAAAAAACAACTTTCAAACAAATCAGATGCACTTCAAAGTGCTTTATAAGCGATGAAGAAAATGTGCGATGTTAAAATTAATTAATTTGCCATCACCAATACAATGTTAACACAAAATACAGTAAAATGGATGCAAAGATGATAATAGAATTTTTTTTTTTTTTTAAAGAAAACCAAAACGATTAGAAAACACTTCATGAAAGCCAAACACAATAGAAGAGTTTTTAGTTAACGTTTAAAAAATATCAATATTTCCATCTCCTCTCAGATCCCATTAGTTCTGATACTGTTCACTGCCTTTGGAAGGCTGTCTCTCATGTATATGTATGTATGTATGTGTGTGTATATGTATGTGTGTGTGTATATGTATGTGTGTGTGTATATGTATATGTGTGTGTATATGTATATGTGTGTGT